TTTGTGTGTTCGAAATATACCAACGTTTAAAAGTTAAAAGTATCAATCAAAAGTTGAGTAAAATTTAAAGTATTACAACTTCTTAGAAATCCACCGCAATGTGCATTTGAACAAATCCATTTTAAACTAACATTGAGAATAAACTCAGTGTAGATGTGGCTATTTAAATGAAATACTCCTGGTGTTAACCATGTCTCTTCGGACACTCTCGCATATGCCACCAGAAATTTTGAATAACCCTGTAGCGTGTTGGAAGGCCGATTCTTTGTACTCGTACATGTACCTCCATTTTCAGTTGTTCAATTGTTTGGGGATTGTTTGGTAGACTCTGACTTTCAACAAGCCCTACAGAACACATAGTACTTTGAATGGGTCCTTGTTTTCAGACCCTCTGCCTATGGCAATGCCAGGGGTCTACATCACATTTATAGACAAAAAGAAGTTTTACAAAGAACAGACGAACAGGTGTTTATTTTCACCTTTTTGTTCTACCTACATGAAGCACAGAATTGGTGACTACAGACTACCGTTGTATTGGTGTGGTTGTTTGGGGCAAAAACAAATATTCAAATAGGAAGACAAACAAACAGACTGATAAAGAGACAGCATAGGTTCCCACTCTCCATTAGGACTGTGATCTGAGGTCTGGCAGGATTGACTGATCAGTTGCTTCAGATAGTCACGAAATCTATACAATTAAACAAGGCACCAGCAAATAGACAAACAGAAAGATGTCCGCTGAATTACTTCAAATCAGATAGACAAACAGGCAGACATTTCTCGAGCTTAGTGCTGTCATGTGCTATCCCTACATTATCAGTTCTTACTTGACTTAGTACAGTAAGTTGATTCAGTGTTTAAAGCCTTTGACCCACATCACAGTTAACCCCTTTGGAAGCATTGAACTCCGGTCGGGAAAACTGAGATTGTTACAAAATCATGAAACGCAAGCATTGCCCATAACATAATAATTTTGGGCTCAAGGGGAAGATTTTTTTCAACAGACTTGGCAGCAGTGATAAAAATTCAAAAAATAACTACCTTAGAATTACAAAGTTCTCTCTCCTCAGTACCTAGTTTTCAGAAATTTGACGTCAAAGATTCTAAGTTTCACAACATGTCAAGCTTTTTCCAGTGCAATTCTTTGAATAATAACAACTCCGAGAAATATAAAGATTTTGATTTAGCGAATAAAACTTTTGGTTCCCGATCTTATAGTTTTACAAATCAAAACTGCCTAAAATGTTAGATAGAACTTTGTAATTCTAAGGTAGCAAAATGTCGGAAGTTAGTGTAAGACAGCATTTTATTCGTGGTTTTCTTACTTTGTTCCACTGGGTTGTGAATTGAGGCCAGTCGTGATTTATAATTCAGGAGATTACAAACCGACATGGCGTCTGTGTAGTTCACTCTCTGTGAGGGCTTCAAGCCTCCGATAGTGAAGCACTTAGATACTGAAACAAAAATGAGAAAGAAATTGAAATGAAATTGTGCAGACAAGACAGGCTGATAGAATGTGAAAAAGAAAATTGAGGTGAAAGGCTAGTGGTGGGCAAGAATAAAAATCGTGAGGATGGGTCGACATGTAGAAGAAAGAAAATTGAGAACATGCGTTGATGGCTAATAGTATAATAAATCGCTATTGCAGATTGACAGGTGGCAGAAAAAAGGGCAGAAAACAGAGAAGACGGGAGCTAATTAGCAGAAGGAGCTGCATCTTACTCCAAATGAGCCTAACAAGACAACCAAATAAAACAAGTAAATGAATAAACAATAAATTAATCCAAAAACAGACAAATACAGCAAAACGTGGCACTCACGAGAAGGCAGAGAATGGTACCCCAGTGGACAGCCACCCTTAGTAGATGCTGGGGTCATGGGGGGAACGGTGTAGTCACCAGGTCTTTTCTTACACACGTAACCACGCTTCTCCTGACAGTGCTGGTCGCCCCAAAGCGCTGGAGGTACACAGATAGAGCACAGGGTAATGACTGGTGTGGTAGAGCACGAGATGGTTATTGGTGTGGGTAACAGTTAAGTGTTTGGGCTTACAGGATTCGTTTCCATAAAAGTGTGTTCAGAGTTTGGAATAAAGTCTGATCTAAATATTATGTCCATAAGAAAGACACTATCCGAATTTTCCTCACTTCATCCACATGAGAATGGTTGCAATAGATACCTGGCTGTGACAATGAGACGCCATGTTTTGACGCCTGTAAAATGACAGCTCCCACAAGACACTTCCAGGAGCTTCAGAATATTTCGGAATGGTGTACGATCTGTCGGAGTTTTATAGTGTGCGCTGGACTTAAGCTATTTTATTTCTGGGTTTTTTAACCTACATTTGGGCTTAATGGTGCCGTACATGGTAAGCACACTTTGCAGCTAGGTTTTTGTAGAGAGCAAAGAGCAGCGGTCATGATGACTCTCATGATCTAGGACTAACTTTAGCCTAATGAAACACTAACCTAAGAGTCAATGGTGTTTTTTTTCTCTTAGTCTTTTAGGGATCTTCTACGTCTAATCAAGAATTACGTTATTTATTCAAATCTACGTCGTAACTCTATCAACCCCATTATCAGCATCACCACATCATCAACACGCATGCGACCATTCCTACTATTTGCATAACTGGAAATATCGCGTACAATCATTGTGGTGTTTTTAGTAACCAAATTTTGATGACTGTCCTGTACCTACTTTTAACTTGTAGGATATCGGACAGTCTCTAATAAGGAAGTGAGTCGTTGCAAGAAAGGGTAACAATAAGCAGTCTACTAACTACAAAAATAACCTTTTCATAACAGTATTTGGAATATATAAGCTGTGCTAACATATCACCTGCATAACTTTATACTAACCAGATGGCGTCAATCTGTAAGGATTGGACGAGGATAATAAGATAGGGCATGGTCAAGGAGCACAAGTCTTTAGCAAACACACAATGTCCAAAAAGACAGGAAATCAAAATTAATTTAACACCCAGAAGAAAGCACGCTTAGGCATGTGGTGATTTACATCAAGCAGACGACCCAGGGAAGCCAAAAGTACGGGTTCTGTAGACTTAGGGCACAGGTTTGGAAGGTTTAAAGCAGTCAAATACTAAGGTGTTCAGAGTCATGATTTGTAGACTCGGGTAACTGGTTTGGAAAGGTTGATGCCGTCAGATACAAAGGTCTTTATTCAGTGTCATGATTTGCAATGCCTTCGAATCAGTTTCTGTTTAACGACTTATTTAACTACGCTCGGCTGAGGGTTAAATACTTACATCCTGAGCCAATTCGGACACATCTTTCACTGCCGTAGGCGTCGTTTGGCTCATTAGTCATCCAGCTTATGTAAGATACAGGTGAACCATCTGACCATCTGGGGAAGACATGATCGCTGTTGTTGTTGTTGTTGTTGTTGTTGTTGTTGTTGTTGCTAATGGCCAACCTGAGCTGAAAGGGACACTGCATCCCCGCAGAAAGACCAAGATACTTGATAATAATGTTCTCCCCAACGGAGAATCGAACTCAGGTCTCCTGTGTGCGACGGCAGAACGTTTAACGGCTACTTTTGACGCATGTGGCGGTGACCAGGACAAAAACAATACAGTTGGTGTCATTGACATTCTAGTCGTTTCACACACCTATCGACACAAATGATTCCAAATCCTTTCATTCCTTCAAATGTCAGAAGTCATGTTCTTCCTTTTTTAGAATTTTAATTAGACAAATATTTAGAAAGAGATTTTTCTTGGTCAGAATACAATGTATACTCTACCGATTATGTGTTACTGCATATATTGTAAAGCGCTCAGGGCCTGTGTATTTTAATCGCGTTAGAATGTAATATAAATGTATGTATTATTATTATGTAAAAAAAAAAGATTCTCCTAGGCAAACAGTAATCAAAGCTATGAACATTTGACTACAAGTCCACACGTTTAACTATCCATCCACCCCCCCTCTCCCCGAAAAAAAATGCCGGCAGTTCACGTGGACTTACTTGAAGGTGTCTTGGTCCAGGTCATTGAGGCCAATCCAGAAGGTTCCCAGAGGGTGGCGGCTGACCTGTACATATGATGAGATAAATATGTGTGGAATGTAAATGTAACACGGTGTGTGTGTGCGGGTGTGTGTGTGTGTGTGTGTGTGTATGTGTGTGTGTGTGTGTGTGTGTGTGTGTGTGTGTGAGTGTGTGTGTGTATGTGTGTGTGTCATCACAAGTCAGGAATGTAATGTAACACTGCAACCCTCCCCCTCCCCCGAACCAAATGTTCTGAAAAAAGGGCGTCAAAAAACTCAGATACGTCTTCCTGAAAAGCCATCTCATGTTGTTGTCATGTCGCAACTCTCAAATACAACAATACTCATGGCCTTGGAGATGTACGCCTCTCTTTCGTTCAGTCAAATTCGAATTATATCTCTGAACATTTTGTCACTTAAACCACTGCAAACATTAAATATAGGCCAGTAAACATGTTCAGAATACAAATGTGGCAAGTTCTTAGCACAAATTATCACATCATAAACTGTAACACTACAATTCAACGATTCAGTGACAACACTTTAAATTATGTTACTATCATTCACAACACAGCCAAGACCTTGGCCTGTTATTCTCGAGTTTTGAAATCAAGGTGAGTTTTAACAGAACCCATCCTCCCAGGTACTTTCATAAGGCTGAATAAAGGGCACCTGTCTTCCTCCCACATCTGTAAGATCTCCTACCCTGACAAAGGGGGCTCCAGTGGCTAAGTGAGGAGTGAGTTAACACTCAAAAGGAATGTCAAGCATGTGTCGGTGACACGGAGTTTCCATGGGTCGTCACGGGGCTATGTCCTTGAGCAAGACACGACAACCAAAGTTTAAATTAAAAAAACAGAGTGCTACACAATGGCGACCAGAAATGACATGTTTGTAAAATTGTTCTGCACTGGTGTAATATTGTGCATTTACCTATGTATTTGCCCTCCAGGTTTCGGGGAGTTCCGGCTCAGGGCTAACGACCCAGACTGATAAAAATCATATGTTACGGAAGCAGCAACAAAGAGAAACCATATTATTATTTATGTGTGTGATGGACCTTCAGAGTTTCTTGGGACTCGTATGAATGCTTGCAGTGAAAGCCGCAAGGAAGCTGTTTGCAGGAAGATGGAGGACCTGAACGCCACAAAGGCAAAAGTTATCATAGGACTGTGGAATGTAAGGACAATGTACGAAACTGGTAAGTTGGCACAAGTAACGGCAGAGATGAGGAGATATGGATTGCACGTTATTGGCATAAGTGAAAGTCACTGGACAGGATCCGGCAAGCTGAGAACAGCAACTAGAGTAACACTGATCTATTCCGGCAGAGAAGACAACCAACATAGGGAAAGTGTAGCTGTCATCCTAAAAAAAGGGGACGAGAAATGGAGTGAAAACCGATCAACAGCAGAATGATGACACTGAGACTGAAGGGAAAACACACCAACGCAAGCATCAATCATTGTTACGCCCCAACTACCGACAGCGAAGATGAAAGCAAGGACTGTTTTTATGAACAGCTGCAGGGGGAATTGACAAGTATACCTCGTCAGGACCTTGTCGTTGTAATGGGCGATCTAAATGCTAAAGTAGGAGAGGACAACACCAACTATGAGAGAACGATGGGACAACATGGTAGGGGTGCAAGAAATAAGAACGGTGAAAGACTAGTGGACTTCTGCGCATTGAACAACTTGGTGATAGGCGGAACCCTCTTCCCACTCTGTACAATCCACAAACTGACCTGGAATTCTCCAAATGGCCGAGAAAAGGACCAGATTGACCACCTTGGGATAGGAGGAATGTGGAGAGGTTCCCTACAGGAGAGGAGCAGATGTCGGCAGCGATCACCATCTAGTGACGGCAAGGATAAAACTCAAGCAGAAGAAAACATTCACCAGGGAGGCGACAAGAACACGATTAAATGTTCGAAAGCTCAGTGATGGCAATGCGGGATCTGCCTTTCGACTAGAACTAAAAAACCGATTTCAAGCTCTCTAACACCTGGAAGAAGCCACCCCCAATGCAGATGAAGTCAATACCCAATGGAAGCATATTGTTGAGGCCTACACAGAGAGCAGTAAGACATGACTTGTTGTCAAGAAAAAGAATGTAAGCAAAGAATGAATATAGCAAGGAACATGGAATACTATTGAAGAACGGAGAGAAATCAAGAAAAGAGAGCTTGCAGCTAAGTCAATACGGCTACAAGAGAAGCACGCAGAGGATTACAAGGAAGCTTGCCAGAAAGTTAAAAGTAAAAGACTGGTCAGGAAGGACAAAAGAGAAGCCATGGAAAATTTGGTAACTTAGGCTGAGGAGGCAGCTGCTAAAGGTGAACAAGGCAACGTATACAAGATCACAAGAATAATATGTGGCAAGTACCACGGTGGAATGAGTGGACCAATCAAAGACAAGACTGGCAAGCTGCTGACAATCGAGAAAGAACAGGAAGCACACTGTACAGAACACTTCAGGGAAGTCCTAAACCAACCTCCACCTGAGGACACCCCAGACAAACAGGAAGCTACCTTGGACCTGGATATCAGCTCTGACCCACCAGAGAAACACGAGATTGTAAAATCCTGAAATCACGAAAATCTCCAGGAATGGACAACCTGAATGCTGAATTGTTTAAAGTAGAGCCAGAACTGACGGCCACCATTCTTCAACCACTATTCAAAACCATTGGGGGGGGGGGGGGGGAGCAGATTCCCGAGGACTGAGCACTGGAGTAATTGTTAAAGTACCAAAGAAAGAAGCTCTTAGAGACTGCAACAACTGGAGAGGTATCACGTTGTTATCCGTTCCCAGCAAGATCCTGGCCAAGATTATTATTAATCGGATTTCGGATGCCGTTGACAGCTGCTTAAGAAAAGAACAAGCAGGATTCCGCAAAGAAAGAAGATGCACAGATCAGATATTTGCCCTCCGCTACACAATAGAACAGTGCACTGAATGGCAGAGACAACTTTATGACAACTTCGTTGATTTTGAAAAAACGTTCAACAGTGTGCATTGAGAAAGTCTTTGGTACATTCTACGATCTTATGGAATCTCTTGCAAGATAGTGGAGGTCATCAAGAGCTTCTACCAAAACGTCAAATACGTTGTTGGAAACAGTACCACTGCTTTTGAGGTAAAGACAGGAGTTAGACAAGGATGCAACATGTCAGCAATTCTGTTCAACCTTACCATTGACTGGGTCATGAGGAAAACAACAGAGGATACATCAAGAGGCATAAGGTGGACCCTCTTCTCCACCCTCGAGGATCTTGACTTTGCCGACGACCTTGCACTACTCTCCCATACCAACCAGCACATGCAGGAAACAAAAACAGACTCCACAAATACGGACGCCAGATTGGGTTAAGAATAAGCCAGAAGAAGACAGAAGTGATGACACTGAATGTAGGCTCCCCAACGCCGATTAGGGTGAACAACGCAGACATGCCTATAACAGACACATTTGCCTACCTAGACAGCA